TTCGTTGGAAATAGTCAACCATTCTGAATTGTATAAATTTAATTAAATTATTTATTTAAATATGTACAAACGATTAAATTAAAAAAAAAAAAAAGAATATGTATCTAAAATTCATTATAAATTTGTGCCGACATTTTATCGTGTATAAAATTAACAAAACTGGAAACTTTTGTGTATACAGAAGGAGAACCTGAACCACAAGGAACTCGTCCCCACGACACAATTCCAATTACTTTTCTGGTACCGTTTACAACTTTTACTAAAGGACCGCCGGAATCTCCCTGGAAAAAAAAAAAAAAATTTATTTTTAATTTAAATTTTTTAAAATATTATTTATAAGAATATGATACTTACAGAACAAGCAGAAAAATGTCCTTTTGTTGATCCAGTACAAATATTACTGATTTTATTCACTTGAATTTTTTCTTTTTTATAAAAAGCTGAACATTCTTCAAAATTTATTAACGGAAGTGTAACTTTTTGAAGATTATCGGGCAGTACTGATAATACAGATCTAGAAATGCTTCCCCATCCTTTAATTATTATTATTATTATTATTATCATTTCAGTATTTTAATTATTTTATTTAATGTGACATTTATTACCTGATAAAATTGTTTCTCCTGTAAATTCTTCATTTTGTCTTGGAAGTCCAATGGGTTGAACATATTTATTAAATGAAAATGGTTGTTTTAGTATATGTATCGCCAAATCATAAGGATTGACTTTTCTACAAAATAATAATAATAATAATATAATTAAAGTTATTAAAGTTGAATTTAATATATTAATAATATAAATACCCTGGATATTTTGGATGTATAATACTTTTAAGAATTGTTGATTTTTGAGTGTATGGACTTTCCCTTTTTAAATTCACTGTACCTGCTACAACCTATAAGTAAAACTTTGGGTAAATTTCAGGTTTGTTAATACTGTTCCATAAAACTCATTAATAATAATAATTGTTTTACTTACCTCAATATAAGTGAATAAGGGAGGTTTTATTTCAGTTACACAATGTGCAGCAGTTAGTACAATCCTTTCAGAAATAATGGAACCTCCACAAAAATGCATTTTCATTAAACCTCTAAATCTTAATGAAACTTGATATGGAAATTCTCCTAAAAAAAAAAAAAAAATTTATGAATAATGATAAACAATTTTATTTAAAAAAAAGTTTATTGAACTTGATAATACATACCTTCTTCTGCTTTTTCACCTCCAACGATTTTAAAAAAATCCTCATCTGATATAATTGGTTCTGTGACATTTTCAAAATCTAATAAATTTCCTTTGGTTAAACCCGAAAAAAAAAATTTTTTTATTAAAAACTTTAATGATTAAATATTTAAACAATTTGTATTTATAATAATAATGAAAATTCACTAATAGACAAAATAAAAAACAATAAATTTTTTTAATCATGATGCTCCTAATGTAATTATTTACTAAAACTTATTTAAAAACATTTTCCCATTTATATACTCAAGTCAAAGATTGTTATTTATCTTTTATTAGTCATTTTATAGATAATTTTTTAAAAAGTACCATAATTTCCCTAATTTATAGGGAAACTTCTTTAAATATTTATTTAAGTCAATGGTGTGGTAAAATTTTGAAAAGGAAATAAATCATTTTATATCTTGTGGTAGGTCTCAACATTTCAAATTTCATTTAATAATATTTAATTATAATTATTTATTAATATTTTATCCTTTCTAAGACATAAGATTTCTCCCTACTGTTACAAATATTGCTTAACTTTTAAATAAAAAAAAAAAAGTTTTTAACTGAAATAAGTAATTTCCATAACCATTAAATGTGAAATTCAAAAAGGTTGACAACAACAACCATCAAAACCTTTTCAACACCACCCCCACTACCCCTTCCCCCCACTTTTTAAGTGTGTAACAATATTTCTTAAAAAAAAGGTATTAATTAATCTAAAAGGTGAAGGACATTTTTTATAACCCAAATTTTAAACAGTTCATTGTCAGATTATTTGTATCTAAATTTTCCCATTTTTTTCAACATTTTCAATTAAATGTATTTATTTTTTTAAAATTATGTCGATTGAGCAAAAGCTTTTTAATTTAAAAAAAAAAAAAAAACTTTTTTTAAAGATAAGAAATGATAGAATGTGTAAATATATTTTTAATGGTTAAGATTTTTTTTTTGGGGAAAACAGATTTCAATTAATCAAAAACAAAAGAAAGAATACTTTATAAGATTTTACATACAGATGGAAGAACAAAGTTGATATTAATAATGATGATGATAGACTCCAGTATGTCTCCTGAAGAGATGGTAGAAGAGAATTATATTAAAATGCAATGGTTTGAATTAAGGGAAATTGATGAAATCCTATCAACATGTTGGCCAAAGCAGTAGAAAAGAGGAGTAATTAAAAGAGCAGGGTAAATCATTGAAGACAATGAGAAAAAGAATGGTAATTTGAAACATACCACAGCAAAGTCCAATTTCAGAAGATACTCAAGAGTAATTGGAAACAGAAAAGTAGCACTAATGAGCTTGAGAGACATGCTACCTTAGATAATGGGAAGATTTTACAAGTATTTAACAGAAGAAACCATACAGGAAATTCCATCGTTTGGCACGGCTACATTATATGGATATTTCCATGGAATTGGGTAGGTACCTGGAAAGAATTCAGAAAAACTTCAAGCAAGCATATAAAAGTTGTCATGACAAAAAGTAACAATGATAAAAACTTTTACCCATTATAAATATATATATTTATATAATTTCAATTATTATAAAAGTGCAAATTATACACTTTAGAATTAAAAAAAGAAAAAAAAGGAGTATAAGTGGTAGCATCCAGGTGTTGCATAAAGCTTAATAATAGTTGACGGTTGGCAGTTAAAAGGTTATTTTTATTCCTGTCAAATTGTTCTCTATTAATTTCATTAAAATATTTTTTAAATTTTGTCCTTCCCTTAACTTAATTGAAATAACTACTGCACATATCGTAGCCATTTCAAATTTTTAAATAAATATTCATTTATTTTAAAACATAATTTAAAATTAAAAAAAAAAAAAAAAAACAATTCTTAATAAAAAAAAAAAAAACAATTCTTAATAAAAAAAAAAAAAAGGGGGGGAACAATTCGTACGTAGGTAAAAACTTCATCGAACACCATTTACTCAACGGACGCAAAAAAGTTTGACAGTTGGTTCTAACGCGTGGTCGATCTGGAATGTTCTATAGAACTATGGAATAAAATTTTTTTTTTTTTTAAATTTAGTTTTTTATTAATTTTAAAAATTATTTAAAAGTGTTAATAATAGTTTTTTTTTTTTTTTTAAAAAAAAAGGGGGAAAAACATGGAATCAACATTTAAACAACTATGAACTATTTAACGTTTTTTATATTTAAATTAACAATTTTATCCGTGATATATTTTAACGAAATCCGTTGCACGACATTAATAAAAAATAACGAATCTATTTATTATAATAATAATAATGATTTTTATATTAATTTATATTCAAATTTATGGTCGAAATATAGAAAAGAAAGAGATTTATCATCATATTCTTTTAAAACAATTAAATGGACACATTCGATTTGGTTAGGTGAACCCGTGAGAAGTCCGAGACTTTTCTGGAATCCAAAAGAAAATTCTATAGAATTTAAAATAGAAGCAAACACAATCGGTTGCATTCTTATACAATTTAATGATAATGATTTTATTATACTTTGGATTGATGATACTTCTGGAAAACCTCACATAGAAGTAAGTAAAAAACCTTTTTTTTTTAACATGACACATAAATACATAGTGATAATAATAATAATAATAATAACAAAGAAAATACATTATTTTTTAAACCATTGGAATATATGTATACCTTCATTCAGGTATTTAAATTTTTTTTTTTTTTTTTTTTTACTATGAATGAAAAAAAAAAAGAAAACCGTTCTTCAAGTTTCAGGTACAAATTAAAAGAATAAAAATAATAATAATAATAATTTTGTGTTGAAACTATATCAATTTAAGATAAGATTTCTCAAGAGAGATTTATGTATTATTTTTTTTTTTAAATTGATGTAATTTCAAACATTTATTTTAATTATTATTATTATTATTTAACCAATATTAATAAAAGTAAAGGTTAATAAGAATTAATTTATTTTTTTTGTTTTATTTAAATAAATATTTAGTGTTGTTAAAATTAATTTTTTTTTTTTTTTGTTGTATTTAAGGGGTATTCTAAAGAAAGGGAAGTTTAACTAAGTAAAGAAAGGAAAATGAAAAAAAATGAAAAAAGAAAAAATTCCCAAGAGAAAAAAAATAAAAAAATAAAAAAGTTTTTTTCGTTACGCACCCTCCATTCTTTCACACACACAAAAAAAAAAAAAATAATAATAATAATAAAAATTCTCATGATGAATTTAAATTCCCACGATGTATTTACCTGCTCAAAAGGGAAAACCTGCTGCTTAAATAAAAAAAAAAAAAAAAAAAAAAAAAATTTTTTTATTATTAATCACAGACCGAATAAAATAAAAATAAAAAATAAAAAAAAAGTTAATTTCACTCTTTTTAATTTTATTATAAAACCGGTCCAATTTTTTTTTTTATAATTAATTTTTTTTTTTTTAAATTTAATCTTATAAAAAATACATGGATTGATTTTTTCCTTTTAATTATTTCAACTTAAACAAAATTATTATTATTATTATTATTATTATTATTACATAATATTATGTTATGCATAAATACGACGATTTGACTTTTTTTTTTTTTTTTCATTTGAATGGTCGTTTTAATTTTAGTTGGGGTTGGAAATTTTTTTTTTTTTTTTATTAGCAGCTGGTTCATTGTATTATTTTACCTTAGGGGCAGATGTTTGGCATGTGCCTTCATCATTTCCTTGTATTATATTCAGCTGCCCCCTTTTTTTTAAATTAAAAAAAAAAAAAGTCATTTAGATTTTACCATTTTCATTTTTTTTTTTTTCAACATTTCGTTCTATTTATTTATAAAAAATTTGCTGCTGGAAAAGTTTAAATTTTTTTTTTTTTAGGATTGCCACCTTGGAAACGATTCGAAAATTTTATTTCGAGATGAAGAAGAAAATTATAAATTATTGGGAGGATATCAAAATTTAACACATACACAAATTTCATTCGAAAGAAAATGGAATACTTGCGATGTTAACGATACCGTTTTGGGGGTTTGTCTTAATAAAAAAAAAAAATTATTAAAATTTACTATTAAAAACCACCCTTAAAAACTTATTCATTTATTTTTTTTTTTTCTTGTCAGTCTGATACAGTTTTAGTAGGATGGTCGATATATCCAAACGATGAATTTGATAAAAATATATCTAAACTTTATACTGAAGAAGAAGAAGGAGGAGGAGGAGGAGGGGATGTTTTTGACGGTGTGTTTAAGGGAGAAAAATTTATTTTATTACAAAGTCCTTCTCAATTGGATATTCCCAAAGGACATAATGTACACAAATGGGATATACTCATGCGAAACGTAATTTTTTTTAAAATGAATGATAATTTTTTTTTGAGAAACTTGTACTGTTTAAATTATTTCCAAAAAATTTTTTTTAGGTTGTTATCAGTAATAAAACGACAACAAGGTATTGGTGTAAGGTTTTTAGAACTCCTTCACTTCCCAAAAAGAGTCACATAATCGCATACGAACCAATGATTTTATCCAATTATACTCAATTAATTCATCACATGTTTTTATACGAATGCGAAGCACCACCGGGATTTTTAGATAGTTATTCATCATCAAATCAAAATGGATATCCTTGTTACGGTTCTGAAATGCCAGAAGATTGGGAAAAATGTATCACACCCGTACGTTTGAAAAAAAAAACTTTTTTTCTCAAATTTAAGCAACGAATTATATAAATAAAAATATTATTTATAGGTTGCCATTTGGGTCGTTGGTGACGAACGTAACGTTTTACCAGATCATATAGGTTTACCAATAGGTCCTCGACAGTCTTATTTCATGTTAGAAATACATTATAAAGATCCAGGAACAACATCAGGTATTTGCTTTATTAAACGTTAAAATTAACAATTTGTGAAATAATAATAATAATTATAATTTAATATTCAGTTATAGATAATTCAGGATTTAGAATTTACTACACGGAAGATTTAAGACCTTTTGATGCTGGAGTTATGATGACCGGTGTTAAAGTGACACCTTTACATTTGGTACCTCCTCAACAAAACGAATATAAATCAATTGGATTGTGTAATGACGTTTGCACCAATAAAGTAAAACAAAAACATTTAAAAAATTTTCCTTTTTCTTTTTTATGCAATCGATTTTATTATGAGACGTTTTCATTTCCAGCTTTTTCCACTCATGGGTATAAAAGTTGTTTCTGTACTTTTACATTCGCACGTGCCAACGTCATCAATGAGATTAAGACACATACGTGGTGATAATGAAATTAATAACATTGTTGAAAATAATAAATATCAATATGAATATCAAGTTAATCAAAGACTTAAAAAAGAAGTAACGGTTTTCCCATCCGATCATTTAATTACTGAATGTGATTACATAACTACAAACATGGAATCCCCTGAATTTGGTAAAAAATTTTCGAGAGAAGAAATGTGTTCGTCATTTGTCACATATTATCCAAAAACAAATCTTTCATCTTGTCACAGCATGATTCCAGTACGTTATTTTTTCAAAACAATCGGAATCAAATCTTTTTACAATGTTACCATGGATGATATTGAAAAATATATAATGAAAATTAGTTCAAAGTAACTTTTTTTTCTTTTTTTTTTTTTTTTTTAACTTGTATAATTTCGACATTTTTTATTGTGATGACTAAAAAAATTTTTTTTTTCCAGTAAAATTTATAAATTTTCAATGTTGTCACCGTACTTAGGAGGTTATAATTCGGAATTAAATAATTTTTCAACCCTTTTAAAAATGTTTTCCGACGAAAATAGTTTATTAAAACTTAAAATAAATGAACCGAATGAATTTAAGGGTAAAAATTTAAGCGCATATATTGAATCTCTTCCATGGAACGATACGTCATTTACAAAAAGTTTTGAAAATAGTTTAGCTAAAGGACTTCAAATTGTTTTTTGCAGAATAAGAAATAATAAATTGGCCATTGTGAGTTTACCTCTATTTACATATTATCAATTTAAACTTGTTGTTGTTATCATTATTATTGTTTTTTTTTTTTTTTTTTTTTTTTTTTTACAGGCACCGAATATAGAAAGTTTTCCAAAATTTGAAATTTTAACAAAATCAAAAACGGAAAATTGTTTATTATCCGACACGACACGATATAAAAATTCATCGCAAAAAATTATTTCATCATTTTTATTATCATTAATTTTATTATTATTTTACTATCTAATTTATTTATAACACATTAAATTATTTTGAAAAAAAATTTAATGTTTGTATTTCATTTTTTTCAACCCTTAATCCAAAATCTTCCCCCTCATTCCCCATATGCAGCAAATCATTTCCTATTACAATAAAAAAAAAAATTTTTATTATGAAATCACAGGAAATTATGTTAGTTTAAATGTGACATTGTAACAACAAACAAACAAATCTATCAATTTTTTTTTAACCATTTTCCCGTTGACGTTTTTTTAAAAAAAAAAAAAAAATTTACAAAACAATATAAAGATTTAAAAAAATTTTTTTTTTTTTTTTTTTTTTAATGGTACAAACTCGATACAGTCTTGACTACTTTAAAATGTTTTAAAAATAAAAATAAAAATTAATTTTGTACTATTAAAAAAAAAAAAAACCCACTCATCATTGTTAATTTATTTCTTACAATTAAATATTTATATTAAAAAAAATAATAATAATAATAATTAAAGAATCGTAAAAATGTTTTTTTTTTTTTTTTTTTTTTTTTTTTACCCCGATTTAACCCCCTAAAAATTCAAAAGGCCCGGGGGGTTCGGGTTCTTTTTCATCTTCTGATTTTGGTCCAAAAGCAGCTACGGGCTCAACTAATTCTTCTTGTGTTCCTTCGTTTATGTGTCTCACCATGACGATACCACCTATGCTGACGTCTTTGAGGGGTACATAAGGAGAACCCTCGACTATGCTTAATACTTTGAGTTGTTGTTTCATGGCTCGAGCAGGATTGCTTAATATTTCGAAATTTGGTTCCGGTTCTTTTCTAGCTTCTTCATCTTTCTTTTTCTTATCTTCTTTTTCGTCTTTCTTTTCTTTTTTATCTTCTTTTTCCTCGTCAACTTCCATCTTGTTTTCTTTTCTTTTAGCCCGTGCTGCTATTGACAAAACGGCCGTTGCCACTTTTTCTCTATCCTCTCGTTTCTTTTCTTCCAATGGTGCAGGATAAGCAAACGTACTCGGTTTTGCATTGCACCTGAATTCCATTTTCGGCATTTTGAGTTGTGCGTTGAGAGTGATCAAACATGTCGGTGTAAAAGCAAGAGCAAGACAATGCGCGAGAGGAAACCAGAACCAATACTGTGTGAAGACAAGCATTCCTACAACGGCTAGCATGTTGGTATGCCCAGTTCTTGATTGAAGAGATACGGTGACATTACGCCCTCCTGCGTCAATTATGCCTAGAAAAAAAAATGTTTGAATTAAAACTAAAGTATTTAACATAAAAATAAATTAAATTCAAAAATATTTTCTTCATCTTACCTTGGGCTAATATTGCTCCAAATTTAGCCATTACATCCTCATGTTTATCAACAATGACTTTTGCATAAAGAGCTCTGATCTCTTTGACTTTAGGACAAGTTACTTCTGTTTGTTGAATTAAAATCATGGCCGATGCAATAAGAGCTCCCTGACGCACGAAATTTACAGGGTCATTTGTCATGGGATCAAGTAAAGCTAAAGCTTCTTTTAAGCCTGTTCCAGCGCAAGCGATTCCAAGTGCGATAGCTGCTCCGTACCTTACGTGTGGATTATAGCTTTCGGCCAAAAGAGAAACGACGCTGGGGCATTGTTCAGGAGTTCTAAATAAAAGGAAACCAATACCAATGACAGCGGCTCTTCTAACATCATCGTTTACATCTGAAACGGCAACGTGTAACAAAGTCCTGATGGCTTGATTATTTCCTGTACCGCAGTATGCCATTGCTATAGTATACATTCCACTTCTTCGCAAAATGGGGTCTTTATCAATGGAGAGAGTATGTATTAGGCCATCAGCTTCTTCCAATCTTTCGAACATGGTAAAGGCGATACCGACAGCCAAACCCCTCAATATCTTTTCGTGTTGAGTTTCATGCGAATAAGCAACCATGTCGTGAATAACGTCACCTGCTTTAGAGCCCAACATGACCATTCCCATTGCAATTCCAGCAGCTTCTCCAATGACAGCGTCATCTTGGTATAAATTAAACTTCAATTGTTCGTAGACATCGGATCTGTGAGAGCCCATGGCAGCCAAACCTAATCCCAAGCAACCACCATGACGTACCATTTCATTTTGAGCATCTTTTAATTGACCCAACAAGTAATCGGTTATTCCTGCACCATGGTTTGCATGAATAAGACCAAGGGCATATAAGCCTCCTCCTTCGGAGAAACCAGATGTTGCACCAGATTCTTTGGGTAAATAACTTTGCATTAGAGCTAAGGCTTCATTTTCATGGCCCCTATGAATAACACCCAACGAAGCTGTGGCAGTTAGTTTAGCCCAATTAGTAGCTCTCGCCAGCCAGTCTAAATTATCTCTTAAAAATTGATCGCTAGTAGTTCCACTATGCATGAATCCATTAGCAATTACTGTGGCGGTGTGACATATTGACACTCGAATGGCTTCTTTTGTATTTTTCAATATCAACATATCTGCATGATTACTACGAATGAGAAATTGCAAATGATGATCAATAGAAACAGCTCCACTTAAAATCGAAGCTAGTTTTTCTAATCTTTCCTGGTGAGTTCTTTCTTCTTCAGTTAAAGTACTTAAAGAGCGTTCTACTGGCTTTTCTTCTTCTTCAGTCGAGTTTTCTGTGCTCTTATCAGCTTGAATTTTTAATATTTTGTCTGTAGCACTGGGGATAGGAGCAGTAGCTTTTAAAGCATGAAGGACTCTACCCAAAAATTGTTGAGTAGCAGATTCATATAAATCAAATGCTATTTGATAAGACATTAAATTATTTTGCTCACTGCCTTTAACTAATTTGTCTAAAATTTCAGCAACCGCTTGTGATTCATCTAAGAAAATTAAACACTGACACATATTAACGTAATCTGGAACAGCTAAATTTCTATATAAATCAACTAAAGACCTTAATACTTCATTTCTAAAACCTCTATTTTGAATAAGGCTCATAGCAACTTGAAATGCATAATGCAACATTCCTACTACATCTTCAGATTCACTTATAGACTTCCTGAATATATCCATTCTTCTGGTTTCTAGAGATAAACCAAGTGCCTGTCGATATTGCCCGTCATCTAAGCACCTTTCAAACATTCTATTAACAATTGCTTCTAATCGTGGATCTATTTCTATAACTTTGTATTCCTGTTTGCCATCCATTTTTGCATTCCTAAGCTGTGTATAATGATCAATGCATTTGGCTATTATTGTATCAACATATTCTGAGTGTGAGTTTACATCGAAGAGATCTCCAGCTCCTAAAGCATAAGTTAAAGAATCTTCAAACGAACCTAAATGATAGTAAACTTTGCTTGCAACCAGAGCAGCTAAGTTTTGTTGGCTAAAATTTTTGTCTTCGTGAAGAATTTCTATTTTTTCAATTGCTTCCGAAATTTCCATCCAAAATTCATCGACAATGGTATCTAATTTTCTTAATGCAAATATTTTTAATTCTGGCATATCCTCATCCAAGAGGGATATTATTCCAGCTGCTGACGTGATATACATTTTTAAGCTTTTTTTAAAAAAAAATTACTCCTAAGTTTTCACTAGTATTATGTTTGCTCAAAAACCACAGTGTACAATGAATAATTCTAATCCCACGACAATCTGGTTTCAAAATTTAAATGTCATGCTTACGACTTTTTAATAATTCATACGAAATAATATATCCAATAAAAAAAAATAATTAACACAATAAGATTTAAATTTTTTATAAAATATTTGCCAAATTCATTATTTTCTGAGTTATAAAAAATTAAAATAATTTAAAAGTAATAATATTTTACATATGTTAATTATTTAATGAAGGCGTAAAGTTTGAAAACAACCGTTAAACTTAAAACAACTAAATGAAATAGAAAACATACTTTTTTTTAATTCTTATGAAAAATCATGAAATGACTTCCATAAAAATTACCAACCACTAAAATTGTTTCTTAAATGTAATAATAAAAAAAAAATCATTTCCTTTTTTTAAAAAATTATGTCTTAAAACTTATGGTAGCTAAACCCCAATTTTATTACAAGAATTTAAATAAAAAGAATTATAGCAAAGGAATATTAAATATTCCAAAAAAAATTTAGTTTTTTAATTGTATTAAATAAAAAATTACAAAAAACTCACTTATAAACAACACAATTATTAATTCGTAATATGATTTACAATTCATTTATATATAGATTAAGTAAAATTTAGTATATTTATTTTGATTTTATTTACATTTCAAAATGACTAGGAGCAAAAAATTATCTGAATTCTTAATATTTTTAGTTGTCATTATCACCAATATCTCCCCTTCCTTCCTCATTTTTTGACTGATTTGTTCCTGATTTAAACGTTTGAAGTTCTAAAGAATTTATATTTAACAAATTAGGACTAGAATCATCTTTTATACCAGAATTATCTTTTTCCATACTTCTTATATCCATTTCATTTAATCTACTCGCTAAACTTGAATTAGCAGCGTCCGGTAATTGAATTTGAGATATCAAAGAATTAAATGCTAATAACCTTTCCCCAACGGAAGAATTAACTTGAACATCTGTTAAATTGTGTGCGGAAACACTGTTTTTCTTTTTATTTTTAAAAACATTTAAGTTTGACTTTGGAACGGGAATGCTAAGTGAAGACTGCAAAATCGAAGAATTCAACCCTTGAGAATTATCCCAATCAACGGAAGTCGATTGTAAAATTGATAAATCCATATCTAATTGCAACGTGTCTAAAACACTCATGGCCGAGTTTTGTATTTTTGTCGAATTATGAGAAGAATCCCGATTTAAATGAGTGTGAAAAGCCCATTTATCGTGAGATCTTGATTTGGGAGTTATCCAACGATTACAAGAATTTCTATCCTGCATTTCGAATAAATGAAAAAGCATTAATTCATCTTGAAGACTGTCTGAAAATTTTGGACTGGTAGTGCTAGAGGTAGAAGGATTTTGAAACAATTGCTGAGCTAAATTATATTCGATATCATTGTCCCCGGACATGGCTTCGTCATCTACATCGTTTTCATCATTCGATTGGACCGAGTTGCTATCATTGATAGGACCTTCAATTTGTCCGAAACCTTCATTGTCTATTTCTGCTTCACTGTCTTCGTGTTCCGTTTCGCTAGAACTACTGCTCTCACTAGAATCATTTAAAGGACTTAATAATGCTCCTTGACTGTCACTGGGTGAAAATTTTTCTCTAAATTTTTTCCTTCTCGATGAAGAAGAAGCCGTAGAAGTAGACATAGTTGAAGAAGAATCTACATTTCGCACTGGAGTTTCTTGACATTTTCTATCTAAATATGGTAATGTTGAAAGACTAGAATTTTCCCTAGGTGTATTCGAAAAAGTTGAAACTCTAGTAGCCTTTAAACTTAACCTCTCCTTCAGGTCATTTATCTGAGATATGTACTGACTTTGAATTTTGGCCAACTGACTTATATACCATTGCTGGTCTCGACATTTTTGAAAAAACGTAGGCGGACGCACAAGAAAACTTAGGATTAGAGTATCAGTTGTGGTGTTTAAGTATCCTTCACTTGCAAGAAGATCTAAACGGAAAAATCGATTGTAACCCCAACATTCTCCTATTTCAAAATCTGAAGCGAATTCTCGTATAATATTTTTGCTTGCATCGCGAGATCCTTGATGAATCATTTCCACTCTATATTCATATTTGGAAGTTTCTGAAAGACCGGCACTGAGTTCTAAAAACACAGAAAGATAATTTCCACGAACAACTCCATTTCCATCTGGGTAAACTTTTAACCTCCAACACAGGCCGTTTATATGCAATGGTGGAGAGTATACAGGATCGGCTTTTCGTTGCAATACAGTGAAATTTTGCATGACAAAAGTACTGCTATCATAACCAGGAACGATTTCACTTTGAAAATCAGCTGGAACTGGAGGAGTAACAAAGCTGGCCATAGGTTTTTTATGAAGTTGATGAATTAACCTATAAATAAAGTTTTTTGTTGTTTGAATCACAGAATTTGCCCAAGAAGTATTTATAAAAACATCCACTGTATTGTATGTAACTCAATATTTATAGTTTTAAATATAAAAAAATATATAAATCGACAAATCACCTAGATAAATCACCACTCTTTGAGATCAATTCTGAACGAGAGCATGAATGCAATCTTTGATCGACTTCTTGAATAATAGCTTCCAATTGCTCTGTTTCTTGAGTCAGGAGATTTTTTTGACCCATTAAAGTGAGTAATTTAGCTTTTAATTGTGAATCTAATCTAGCTATCATAGACTCCACAGCATTTCTGATTTCTCTGACTCTTTCATCTTTAACAGATCTAACTGATTCAACATTTTTTTCCACTTCTTGAACCTAAAATTAGTGTCTCAAAACCAATAGTAATTTGTTAATAAATGTTAATTTTACCATAATGAAAAGTATAAGCCTACCAAACTAATGAGTTCTACAAGTCTTCTCCTCAATTGTGATACTTCATCTTTTATTTGATTTACATGTTGCTGATAAACTTCTTCCAAAGGCTTAAAAGTATGACCACTGTGAATTCCACCCCAAAGAGCACATTGATGACAAATACTGATCTGACAGTTCCAGCAAAACACACTTAATTTTTCCGAATGAATTTCACATCTGTTTAAAAAAAAGTCTCAATTAAAAAGTAAAAAAACACAAATAAATACAAATACATAATTCAAAAATAAAAATAAAAAAAACCTGTCTTTGTCAAGATCATCATTTTCTTGTCTAGATAATGAAGCATTTCCAGCTTGTAAGCTGTCAAGCTGCTGAGTAACTTCTTCCACCCAGCGACAATTAACTACCTCATGAAGATGTAGCGAAGCACGACAGTGAGGACATTGAGATCTTTGTTCAGTTAGCCATTTGCTAATGCAAACATAACAACATAATTTTGAACAATGAGGGCAAAGATGAGCATCCCTAAGCTTTTCCATACAAATAAAACACCTAAATACTTCAGCTAATGTTTCTACACTGTGATCTTCTAAAGTTTTTTGGTTTTTACATTTAGACATGATGTTCTTATTCATTTTTCAAAATGATTTTCACAAAAAAATTCAATTAGAATTATCTGAAATGCAAAATAAATATGTACAATTTTTAAAAATAAAAATAAATTAGATTGAATATCAATAAAAATAAACATAATAAGCATTTTGCAATTCACATTCACTTGGAAAATGTATAAATAAAAATAATATCTGGTATAATATAGCAATAAACCAAAAATGATATAATTTTAATTAAATTTAAAGAATTAATTAAAAATTTAAAAAGGCGAAAGCCTTAAGACTTACTTATTATAGCCATTTTATAAAAAATTTTTTTTAATATAAATTGAAAAATTGAATAAAACATGAGGAGAAACTTGAAAAATTTTTGACGGTTCTACAAATAAACTAATTATGTTAATTCTTATAAACAAGAATATAACTTTTGAGGTTTATCCTATTGGTTCGAAAGGGCTCTTTTCAATAATAAAAATTTGATTCTTTATTGAGATTATTATTTTTATTATTATAAACAAAAGGTGACAACTTTGACAATAGACATAACTAAATGACATGTAGCCAGAATAATTACACGTGTAAATAGATAACTTATTTGAATCAGATCGAAAGTTTTAACTTTGTGACTTACGGCTCGAAGTGAAAAGTTTTTTAACAAATTATTAATTGTGATTACGAATTAATTAATAGCATTTAGTAAAAAAAAAAGCATCAAGTATTTTCATCTTCGCGAACGAAATTATAATGAAATACGTAAGTCAATGTAAAATAATTTTTTCAGGTTTGAACCTTGAGAACACAGGACTTCAGTTGCATTAAACATTATCGAAATTTCTAGAAATCTATTTCTGGTGCTTTTTACAAAAACTTTTATCAATAAGTAAGCGATAGAGTCATTTTAATTTTGATTTTGTCCAAGATTTTATTTGCATTAAGTTTTTTGATATTTAATAGTTGAGAATAATGATATTTTATTAATTTTACCAAAAAAAAAAAAAAAATTTTCTTCGATTTTATCGCCGCCATTTTTATGCATTTTTTTCCCGGTCATTTTGTATCTGACTGTCATAAAGTTTTTCTTAAAACCCGATAGTTAAAGTAATTTTCGGGGATTCTTATACCATGATGAATATTAATTATTTCATATTATTTTAACTTTATACTAGACAAAAAAAAATTTTTAAATCAAATACTTGGATTTTGAAAAGTATTTTTAAAATTTATAAGTTAGAGCAACATAAAGTATATCAGTTTCAAATTTGGTTGCTTTTACACAAACGTTTCTTTTAAACTCAAATTATCATCTAATTTATAAATTATCAAATTTACATCGAAAAATGGTCGAAACTAAAGTTCTTTTTTTATCGTTTTAGTAACGCTTTGCATAAAAGGAAATTTTTTACATTTGATATTACAGGATATTTTGCGTAAATTTTTAAATACGTGGTATTAGACAATCGCATAATTAGATATTTACATAATTCTTAAAAATTATTCTAATTAAGAGTTGAGTTCTACCCCGTCTCTATTTAATACTTTCAAAATGAATCGAATATAAAAATTAATTTATTGAGTTTGTTAGTTGTTATATTTTTATTTGAATTATCATTTCTTATGTTTAAAATGTTATTTATTCATTACCCCAACGAAATAATTCAGATAATTAACTATTAGAATTTATCTGTTAAAAAAACTGATTTTCAAATTTCATTCTTTTATTTCAATTACTTTAATTAAATTTTTGTGTATAAAAAAAGTTTTAAATTAAAACCAAAAAATTTTTTATCATTAAAAATAAATATGCAGGCAATAGAGCTTTTAAATTTATCACCAATTCCAGGTACATGCATTATTTCAATTAAAAAACACTTTTACCGTTACGAATATTGTTCCTCTATTTTTAACGAAATATGTTTTTTTTTTTTTTTTTTACTAAAAATTGAGAAAAATATTTATGTTTTATTTTAAATAATTATTTCAGAGTATAGTGAAGCCGATCTAGGCACAATGTTGGATCAATTGAGTAATTTTAGCGACCGTAGTGAAGCAACTGATCGGAATGTTGAAGAAATTATAAAAGAAGCAGAAGAAATTATTGACAAATCATCTGGCATTAAGTTAAACGAAATTAGAATATTAAACAGTCCTAAAAAGGAAATACCTGATGCAAACAAAGAAATAAAATTACTACAGAGTAATGATATTGTAGTTAATGAAGAAAAAGATTATCATGTTAGTCAAGAGTCACCAAAAAATGAGGCTCTACCTGTCAAAGGTTCAGACAATAAGTTAAAAGAAAACAACAGTGATAATAATCCTGCCATACCTCAAAATTTATCTGAATCTGATGATTCCAAACATAATTCTAACTTATTAAGTTCATCGGGAAGCTCGATAAATCACATTAAACTAACAATTGATTCGTTAAAACAGTTTTCAAATTTGGTTGAACAACAATTTAATAATGCATCTAAAGCTGAAAATTCCAACAAAACAAAATCTGAGGGCTATAAGGACACAGACCAAGTTTTGAAAAGCCCTAGTTTTTCTTGTTTTGATAGTTGTTCGAGTAGCAAATCATTACCTAGCTACAATGTTAAAAAAAATTCCAAAAAAAAAATCACATGTAAAGCTAATGAAAACAGAACTTACAACAGCAACAAACCTACAACTAAAGCTCTTAATTGTTTCGAAAGATTATATCAAGACAGGCCATTAAGACTATCTAATGTTGATAAAAAAAATAAAGTTGATTTGAAAAATTCAAAAAAACCAAATAGTAAAAAGAGTGAAGTTAATCTTAAAGATAGTAGTGAAACACTTGTAGGGAAAAAGTTAAGTTTGCATCCTGTGACTAAGAAAAAAACTGAAAACAAATGTCAAAGAGAAAAAATAAAAATCGATGTCGAGTCTGAAATAATTAATTTAGATATTTTCGATGATTTAAATGGTGAAGAATGTTTAAATAATGACAATGAAATTCAAGGTAATTATTTTTCATCAATTAATCACTTTCATTTTGTTTTCAAAATATAATAACTATTTAAATTTTATCTTTTTTTTAATTTCAGACAAACAAGACATTTTGAATGATTTAGAAGAAAAATGTCATACGAAAGTTAATGGTATATATAATTTTATTAAATAATATTTTTGATTTCATATTAAATATTTTTAATAATTTAAATATTTATTTTCAGAAAATCTCATGTTGAAACTTTTGAAGGAAATAAAGGAAATTAAAGTAAGTTTATTTTATAAATAAATTCATTTTAATTAATTTAACATCATTAATAATAAATAAATTTAGTTTTTATTAAAAACTAAATTTATATTTAGGAATTTTTCCGCGGGTTTTTTTTAAGTAATTCAAGAAATTAAATAGGTAGCTAAATCAAAAAAAAAAAAAAAAAATAAGCTTAATAAATAGAAAATAATAAATAATAATAATAATAAACTTACTTTTAAGTTTATTAGGGGGGTATATAAATAATTAGGTTTATTTAATATTAATACTTTTAAAATTTTGGTTTGTTGCTTTGTTTGAGGGATAAACTTTAAATTTATCTTTAATTTTGTTAAAAGCATATACGTGGGGATTGTAAAATCTTTGTTGCAAAAATTAATTTGTCACCAAAGCTCAACAATTACTTTAAAAGTGTGCCAGAATCAAACCGGAAATGATCAAGTTTTTTTTGACTTTATGAACGTGATAATAAATAATTCCGTTTGAAAAACAGAAAAAAAAAACATTATGACGATGACACTTCTTGAGCTAATACTTTTAATGCGGCATAGGCTTCTTGAGCTGTAGGCACGATATATTGTGCAGGAAGTACAAAACCATGGCGTCCCGTATCTCTTAGCTCGATTGTGTATGCATATTTAATTTTTGCTGTGCCTTTAGCCCAATCGTCTGAACCACCTTTAAATTAATTTCATTTTCGAGTTGTTTTCAAAAATTAATTTAATTTTGTTAATTATAATAATTTAAATAGCACTTACCTGCTGCCGGGTATAAAGTTGCTGCTGCTGAACCGACCGTGTAGCTTTGACCACTCTGTCCTTTTATCGCTTGAGCCATCGCTCTTCCAACTCTATGTAAATCTGAGTAGTCTGGAGGAACTTTTCTATCATAACCCCAGGGATACAAAATATACTGTCCATAACTATGTAATGATACGTATGCCTGTATATAAATAAAAACAAACAAACATTTTAGGTCTGATATAATTTAAATTAAGTTTAAAAATAATTAAAACAAGTCCCCATGTCGTAATCGTGTTTCATAAATTAATACTTACACCAAAATTATTAGAAGAATTTCCTACGAATTTTTGTATTGCTTTGGTTTCCGGTTCTGAAAATGGACTTGGTCCAGCATAAGTTTCTCTGCATGCCAATTGACTTGCTCCCTGTCCTCCCCATTTATAACCGAAATTTCTGTTGAGATCTGTTCCCGCGCAAGGACCTGAAAAAAAAAAAAAACAATCATTGTAATGTGACGAATTTTTTCAATTTAAAAAAAAAAAAAAATTATTATTAGTTAGGTGACCTCTGACCTCTGTATGCGTTAGCTCTATTTTTTCTCCAAAGTCTATCGAAGATGTGCGAATGTTCATAACCGTCGGGGTTGACAAGAGGTAATATATACCAGTCGACACCGTGAGTTCCATCTCCATTTTCTACCATTTGACTTATGGCGTAGGTTGAAGTTGCAGGCGATATCCATTCCCTTGCGTGTATACCTGAAAGATAGTAAATTAAATATGAGTCGATAAATTCATCATTGGAAAAACGAATGATGATTTCTTATAACGTTTACCCGAATCCATCCATATTGCTTTGCTGTTAGGATTACCCGATGATATTTTCAATACTTTTAACGGTCTTCTTTCAACCGAATGTCCGATTGTTATTAGAGAACAAACATCGGGATAGGTTGCCGTCAAATAATCCAGGTATCCGTGAATGTCAGACATTCTATGGTACATATGCCACGTCATTCTATGACCTAAAAAAATTTTATGTTAACACATTAACAAAATTCGAATCTTTGTTGTTATTTTTTTATCAGCGTTTCCAGTTCTATAAAAAAAAGTGGGTCGTCGTCATTATTTAAATAAATACCTCTTTTTTTCTTTTGTTTTTTCTTCAATTTAATTTTCTTTTTTCTCAATTCGTTAAATTTTTTGTCAGTAAGAAAATTTCGATTCCTCATTCGAAGTAAATCGTAAAAGGCCCATCCGCGAAATGATGATGGAAATATGTTATGATGAGTCCATTGTCCATTTTTCTCTGTTACCAACCCCATTACAGGTTAATGTTAATATTCTCATACCCAATAGTTAAGTATATGTATGTTTATACACCATTCAATATCTGTGTCTTATATATATATACATTTGATTCTGAATGAATGAATGAATGATTGAATGAATGTTTCATTTTACAAATTTTTGTTTTTTTACAAACATGCATACCATTAACTAAAACTTTTTCTCTCTTTTTTTATAAAAACTAATTTTTCTGTTAGAACGATAGATTCTTTCAAGAAAAAAAAAAAAAAAATTTTTTCCACATTATACCTTTTCGTCCTTCGAGTTCTGACCATTCATCTTGTGATATCGATGGATTTTCTTCTTCTATGGCTTTTTGCAAATCGTCAATGACTACGTCGTAGGATAATTTTTTCGTTTTTAACACATCATAAACGTTATTTTGTCTTACTAAAATATCAATGGCCGTTCCGTTTCCCATCCAAGTGTTTATTTCTATTTGGAAAAAAAAAAAAAAATTGTTTGGTTTTCATTTAATTATAATAATATGAAATTTAAATTGTTTTACTTACCTCCATTATTTTCCATTTGTTTAATTAATTTTTTAACTTCTTTATTGGGTACCAAAACTCGAAGGACTTTTGCTCCGTTATATGATATTTTTTCTTCTTCGTTGACTCCATTTTCTAAATTTGTTGTCGAGTTGTCTGTTTTAACTAGTTCAGGTTCTTTCACGGTTTCCGTCGTTGACGATGAGGTATCATCTTGACTCATTAAACGTTCTGACTTTTCACCACCGCCACCATCTTCGTTACCTGTTTTTAAAGATTGAAAAAATAAAATAAAATAAAATTAATAATAAATTTTTTTTCTTTTCTTGTGGGTCAATCATTTGCTTTCGTTTGGTAAAATTATATTTTTTTTTTTTTTTTTAAATCAACTTTCACCTTTTTCCGTCACCACCACGTACAACTGAAAAAGTTCCAAAAAAAATTAAATTATTATTATCACGTCGTCATTATGGTGGGTACACACGGTCGAGGAAAAGCAACCTACATTTGTTGTTGTTGTTGTTCGAAATTGTTCGTGTGTCGAATTGATAAAATTAAAAATTATGTTTAATTATGTTTTACAATGGATTTTTTTTTTATTTAGAAAAACTGCATTCAATTGTTAGGAATATGATTTTTATCTTAATTTAATATACCCTACTGGAAATTGTTTGTTTGTCATTGTTTGTCGAAGGTTACTAAAAAATTTCCCGACGAAACTAAATTTGTATTTTGCACTTTTTTTTTTTTTTGAAAAACAAACGGGGGATTAGACTGTATGATTAATAATTAATAATTATTTGACTTAAAAATAATAATAATTTTTTGAGAAAAATCCAATAAATAATTATTTATTTACTTACCGGAATTTTGTAAATTTTCATTTGACGTTTTCCCAACATCCGATTTTTCATTTGTAGTAAAAAATTTAGTTGTGGACGATGGCGACGATGACGATTCGTTTGCTGATACGATGACAAAAATTACAAGCAGGGAACCTGCAATAATAACTTGTTGAATCCAACGCATTTTGATGGGTTACTGAAATTATCTCACGTGTCCCGGTCTTATATATATACATTAACGTGTGTGTATAATATACACACATGTACGTACACGCGTGCGCGCCCGTACACACGTACTCACACCTGTCTAAAAAAAAAAAAAAATGTTTACAAACAATCAAATAAAAAAAAGTAATGTTGCTTTCGTACCTGTTTTGCTTATGAGCCTTCATTTTTTTCGAGGGAGTTTTACTATACTACTCGATCTCAACGTAATATTAAACTCGATTATTTTCTGATAAATTTACGTCAATTATTTAAGGAGTAGGGTGAGGAAGGGGATCGGGAGGGAAGAGGGAGGTACGTGGGAGGGGATCGATAGTAGAAAGTTTTATTCCCTTTCCCTTTGTTCCGAAAATAATATCAATTTTTTTTATTCGTGATTTAAATTTTTTGCGAAAAAGAATTTTGTGGACGTACGACACAAGCTAAAAAAAAAAAGAGAATAAATAAAAGAAATATATTTAATAAAAAATGTGTCCTGAATATGTAAACCTTTAATTTAAAAACCTATTATTGATTTTTACAAACAATAACAAATGAAGGCATACATGGAATAAAAAAAAAAACAAAAACAAAAAGAGTGTGTTAAGGCATTGAACTTGACCTTTAAATGTTTTTTTTTTTTCTTTTTTCTTCTTTTACTAGCCTGATTTTTTTTATTATTTTGATTGATATCACCCACGCACACCCACACACACACACACACACTTGGTTAGATTGAGGTTAAAACTTTTGTGATGATTTTTTTCTTCTTGTCATTCTACCTTTAGAAATTATTAATGAAGTAGAAAAATGTATGTACGAGTCTCGTTAAACTTTTCTTCTTTAATCGATCGATCGATCGATCCATCGAAAATGGTCTCGAAACAAAGTCTCGATTTATTTATTTAGTCTTTGCCCCCCTAATGAAAAAAGAAAAATTATTATTATTATTATTATATTTTTTTTTGTTACTTATAATGTCAGGTATGAATGCATTAAGTCGATCGTGTCACGCTTTTGACCTAGTCAAATGAACTGGTTTATATTATTATTAATATTATTATTATTATTATTATTATTATTATTATTAATAATAAAAATAAAAACTTTATAGCCTCGCCATTCGATTAAAATCTGGTTGTTTGTCGGTTGTTAAAACGAATTTTTTTTTTTTTTTTTTTTTAATGTACAACAACCATAAACGTCCCAAAAAAAAAAAAAAAAAAAAAAAAAGTTGAAAAAGTTTATTTATTTGTTTTTTTTTTTTAATTTAGGGAACATTAAAATCATTTTTTATTTATTTTGAACTTACGAAAAATTGTTTGTTTGTTTGTTTGTTGGATCACGTAAAAAAGTTTTTTACTTTCTATATAGATAAAAAAATAACCGATGATGATGATGATGATGATGTTGAGGACAAAGTTTTTATCTTTTCTTTTTTAAATTATTATTATTATTAATCGAATCTGATTTTTTCTCTCTCTTTCTCTCTCTCTCTCACAGGATCAAATAAAAAAACCTGAAACCGTTTCAAAGGGTCAAATTGTTTGTAGCAGCAAAACATCCATGGAATACATAAAAGACGTTGAAAATTTAGAATCGGAAATAAAACTTTCGACGGAATACGAAACGAAAAAAAAAACGGATGGAATAAAACGACTCGAAGAACAATTTATTATATTAAAAGTAAATAGAAAACAAACAAACAAACAAACATGGCGACGCGTCATCGTATTAATAATGATGATTTTTATAAATTTCAGGATAAATACGATCAACAAATTGAAAAACTCGAAATTGAAAATTCAAATTTGAAAAAATTACTCAAAAATGAAAAAATTTATTCGTCATTTCAACCACTTCCCAGCGTTGACTTTGTGAGTTTTAAATTTTAAAAAAAAAAGTTTGTTTGTTTGTTTGTTCGTTTGTTAAGTTTGAATTTCGTTCCAGGAAATATTTAAAAATATCAATGTCGGACAAAAAACGGAATCCGAAATTTTATTTTTAAATCCGTCCGTTAAATTCGATTCCGAAATTTGTAAAATTTCACAAGCGGGTTCTCCAAAATATTACAATAGCGTACCGAAAAATTCACCGGTAACGGTTTCTCCAGTTCCAGAGGAAATGGTCGCAGTTAAAGAAGCTTTTTCTCAAACGGAAAAGGATAAAATACAACACGCGAGCGTTCAGTGCGACGAAACGGAAGAAGTTAAAAAACGGAAACGCGTTAATGCGAAAAACGATGACGACGATGACGATGGGGATGGGGATGGGAATGATGATGAGGGTGGTGGCGTGGATGAAGGTGGTGGTGGTGATGGTAAAAATTTCACGAAGAACGCGACGACCGGAAACAAAGAAAACATAGCCATAGTGAAAAAAAATAAAAAAATAACGAACAAGGGTAAACCGTTTTCCGACATAACATCGAATGGGATTTCCGTTGGTAAATACAAAAGATCCGCGACATCCGAACACGAAATGCAATTGATGACGACATTGAGAGGTTTGCAATCGGATTATTTGAACAGGGATAGAGAAAATAGAAAGTTAAAAATAGAAATAGAAATGTTGAAAACTCAATTGAAAAAAATTGTCAGACAACAACAACAACAACAACAACAAAACAAACCGGAAAAAATAACAAAAAGGAACAACAACGTCGGAACGCAAACAATCGATTTGGGTCCCATCAATCAACGACCCTACGATCCCACCGTATATCAAGGTCAATATCATTATTATTATCATTATCATTATTATTATTATTAAAAGAAAAAATTATTTAATAATTTTTTTTTTTTTTTTCTATTAAATAGTTTCGTCCGATATGGAAAGAGAAAATGAAGATTTGAAACAAAGGATAAAAAATTTAGAAGAAAATATAGAAGCGTTAAAGGAAAAAAGAGTCAACGATGTGAGTGTACATAAGTAGAAAGACTTTCCCAATGTTAATAATAATAATGATAATAATAATGATAATGATAATTTCTTTTTATTTGACAGCTTCAATCCCTTCATCAAGTTCACGAAAAAGAAATGGCCAAATTGGTGAGCAAATTGGAAACACAAAGCGATCTCACAAAACATTTGCATTCCCTTCTCGTGAATCGTTAGTTTGGAAAATTCCAGGAGGAAAATGCTGATGATGATGATGATATTTCGAATGAGTTTGCAAAAACGGTAAGTTTTTTCTATTTTTTTCTTTAAATTTGTTTCTTCCCCTTTTCGGGAAGCTTCTGTGGTGATATTTTTCTACGATATTCACGATCGATTTCATTTTTCCCCTTTTTTTCTTTATTATTATTATTATTATTATTATCACGATGTTCGTTTTTGTCGTTTTGTGTTTTGTTGTGTGTTGTTGCGTTTTAAAAAAATATTTGATTACACGTGGGTCCCTGAATCGAATCTAAGAGAGAGAGAGAGAGAGAGAAAAATTATTTATTTATTTGAGATGTTCCTATTATTAAAAAGAAAAATTTTATTTTTTTACTCTTGTGTATCCAAAGATTTTTTTTTTTTTTTAAATAAAATGAAATAATTCACATAAATATATATCTATATATTTTTTATAACATCATCATAAAATATTTATAAATAAAAGAAAGAAAGAAAGAAAAGAAAAATCCGTTAATGTTAATTTTTAAATTTATGTAATATGACGGATAAGGTAAAAGGTTGTTGACCTTTTATTTTTACTTTAATTTACAAATGGTGGATAATAATATTTAATAATTTTTGGTTGTTGTTGTTGCTGTTGCTGTTGTCGTATAGTAAGCGAGAGCACCGATTAAACAATTCACGGTCCAATCGTTTATCTTAAATAATAATAATAATAATAATAATAATAATAATAATAATAAAATTAGTAAAAATTTTTGATTTTGAGTAAAAATTAAATTGGATAAAAAAAAAATTTACCTTTAAATCATTTATTCGATCGAATAAATTCCAATTTTTCGTTGTTGTTTTTTTATTAACTCTGACGTCATTAATAACCGTTAAATTATGCCCATCGCGATTTATTTTATATTCTTGTGATTTATCGTGTCCGTAAGAAAATCTTCTGCTGTTTATTCTTATTTTCCTTTCGTTTTTATTTTCCCGATTTTCTGAAATTTTCATTTCGTTTTCCCTTTTCTCTCGTATAAATCTCGAATCGTCGTAAATTTTTTCTTTTCTCGCTCTCGAATCATCGTCGAGTGTTGAAATTCTCGAACGAGTATCGATTCTTCGTCTCGAATTCAACGTATTTTTCGAAATTTCCATTTTTTCTCTGGAACGTTCTCTATTTCTCACGGTCGAATCATCGCCATTACGATTCAAACGATTTGAAGAAATAATCATCCTCCTGTTTCGTGTGTCCATTCTTCTACCTCTCGTATCTGCCAATAATCTTCTGTTCGAAGTAGAATCTTCCGGTTCTCTTTTATTTCTTCTATTACCAACTTCATCGTTTCTCTCTTGCAAATCATTCCTGTAGGAACGTTGAAATCGACGATCGTTAAAATTTTGAATTTCCCTTCGTTCGGCCGCCATTTTTCTATCGGAAAATCTTTCTTCGCTTGATTTCCTTCTATCGATTCTCCTTCTTTCATTTTCGAATCGAATTCTTTTCTCCGCGTTATTGATTTCATCGTTATTTCTCCATTTTGTTTCTCTTGTAATTAAATCCATGGATAATTTTCTTTTTTCGTGAGTCAAATCGAGTCGACATTGATCGGAGATTTTAATAGGAAAATAATTTTTTTTCCCATTTCCTCCTGTAAAAGTGTCACGTTGAAATCCACACGTTCCCCCTCTTGATATTTGTATGGCCCTAATTTATAAATTTATTTAAATTTTTTTTTTTAAAAAGAGAGAAAAAGAGGGAAAAAAAAAACTTACAAATGAGATGCTTCACTTTCAGGTTGTATTCTTCCCATATCTCCCAACACCGGACATGATAAAAAAAGTAATAAAAATCCTATTTGATTGAGACATTTCGTCGGTTGAATAACCAGTCTTGATTTTCTCATTTTTTTACTCCTAATAATAATAATAATAATAATGATAATATAAAACATTCGATTCGAATTTTCTTTCTTTTTGGTTAAAAAATGATTTTACTACTCACCCGAATTTTTAACTTTAGAACAACAAAAACAACAACAACAAGTTTTTGACTAGGATGAAAATTTTCTACTGATGTTAAAAACGTGAAAATTTTCAATATATATATGGGAAAAACTCCTACGACGACGGAAAATTGAAAAAGAAAAGAATTTTCTCGTAATAAATTTTCATATAAAAACGATACAAGTGATAAAAATATATAACACGGTTCATTTATTTTTGCGGTTTTTAGAATTTTCTTCTTTGGTGAGACGACCATCTGTTAAATTTTGAAATTATCCAATAACACGGTTGAATAATTATTTAAAACGACATAATACGTTTATCTATTCTTTTCCAGATGCTACCATCACTACTTATTTTTTTTTTTTTATTAATTTAACCGTTATATAAAAAAAAAAATTGAAAACGATTTATATAAACAAAATAATAATAATAATAATAATAATAATACGGGTTTTTTTTTGTAAAAAAATATGTCAGAAGATGAAAAGAAAAAAAATTCAAATGATGAAAATGGGGGGGAAGAAAAGAAAAAAAAAAAGGAAAAACATGATGATGATGATGATGATAAAGGAAAAGGAAATGATGGAGATGATAAAAGAGATGGAAATGATGATGGAAATGAATCAAATGTATCAAAATCTCTTAAAAAAGTTAAAAGCGAATTAAAAACAAATTTAAAAACAGAAGAAAATACTAATAAAAAAAACGAAGGAGGAAAACATACTAAAAAAGAAAAAAAACTTTTGGTAGTAGTTTTTTTTTAAATTAAAAACAAAAAGAAATTTAAATTTAATTAATCCTTCGTCCATATTAATAATATTTTTAGAGATTTCAAACTCCAGTGAAATTATCAATTGAATCTTCTGCGGTTTCGCTAAATGATAAAACTTATTCAAAATCGTATGTAATTTATTATATAATTTCACTCTTACTACCATATCAAAAAAACTAAACGTTTTTATATATATATACTAAAAAAAAAATATATATATATATATAGTTCTGAAGAAATATTAGTCGATGATATGTGGCAGGAAAATAATAATCAAAAAATAACAAAAACAAATCCGCCAAAAGTCTCAAGTAAAACATTATTAAAACAAGAAGATTTATTTGTTTCACAAAAAACTGATGATATTTCTGCATCATCATCTACTCAATTGTTTGAAGGTTAATTTAATAATATATATATTTAAATTTATCCTTTGTATCCAAAAATACAAAAAAAAAAAATTTGATATAAATTAGTTTTAAAGATATCTCCTACACCGAGCGAAGTTGATTTAAGTTTAATAAATGCAACGTATATGGGAAAAATAGACAGAGTTAAACAAGCAATTAATAATGGAGCTAACGTTAATCGTACTTTCGACGAACAAACGATATTAATGATGGCCATCGAAAGAAGAAATATCGAATTGATTAAATTTTTATTAACAGTACCGAATATAAATATTAATATTCAAAACGAATCCGGTTTTACAGCACTCATAATAGCCGTACAATATTTGGCAATAAACGTGAACAATCACACTATTTTCCCTCTCTCTCTCTCTCTCTCTCTTATCATTTATATAATAATATAATTTTTTTTTTTTTAGATAGCCGAAATTCTTTTGAGTAAAAATGCTAATGTTAATATATCTGATAATCAAGGTAGAACTTCACTTCATTATGCACTTTTTCAAAAATCATCACCCATGGTTAAACTTCTTCTTGATTATGATGCTGACGTATTAATTATTTTTTTCTTTTGCGAAAAAGAGAGAGAGAGAGAGAGAGAGAGGGAGAAAATTAAAATTATATATAATGTTTTAGTACGAATCCCCGGATATTTACGGTGAAAGACCCATTTACACGGCTGTTGTTAAAAAACCCGATTTGCAATGTTTGAAAATCCTTCTTGAAAAAGGAGCTAAAATAGATATTATTAATATCAGCGGTTATCCACTCATATCGAGAGCAATGTTAAATTTTACTTATTTTTCAATTATTGAAACCTTAGTCGAATATGGAGCATCTGTCGATTCGATGGATATTTATTCTGGAAAAACACCTTTGCACATTGTCGCAATGATAAACGATTTAAAAATGGCCAAGGTTGGTTGATTAACAAAACAAAAAAAAAAAAAAAATTATTATTAAATAGGAAACAACTTAAATTTTTTTTTTTTTCCCCCCCCCTCCTTTTTATAGTTTTTATTAGAAAAAGGAGCAAATCCGAATTTAAAATCATTTTATAATTTTACTCCTTATGAGGAAGCAATTTTTCATAAAAGTCTTGAAGTTGCCAAATGTTTATTCGATGTTACAAAAGGTGCTAACTTGAAAGCTCTTAGAATGTTGGAACAATAAAAGAAAAAAATATATAATAAATAAATTATTTATTTGTAGAGACTTTATGTAAGAACCCTGTGTACACCCTACCATTAAAAAACAAAAAAAAAATATATATAAAATAACCATCATTCCTGTAAATATATTTGATTATTTTTTCAATTGTTACTTAATACTGGATCAATTTTAGAAAAATCAATACCAATTTCTAATTCTTTAGGTTTTTGATTCCTAAAAAACAAACAAAACAATTATTATTATTAATCTTTCATTTAAAAAAAAAACAAAAAAAATTAAAAGTAAATATTTACTGCATAAATAAAACTGCTTTTTTCCCTTTTAAAACTATTGAATTCCCTTCAATAATTAAATAAGAACCTTCTCTTAGACCCACAACTGGTCTCGATCCAGGAATTTCATGAAACTGTTGAATCCTTTCAATTCTGGTTTCCTATATAAATTTCAATATTTAATATTCAAGTATCTCATCCTGTTGCTGTTGCATAATTGTTTTTTTTTTTTTGTTAATCTCTATCAAAATTTTTAAAAAGTTTTCCTGTACTTACACCTTTGTGAGTGGAATTCGGATCAGGATCTAAGTAATGAGGATTAATATTAAAACTAATCAAATTTAAAGCATCAAATGTTGGTGGATAAATGATAGGCATATCATTTGTAGTGTTGATAGAAGGAGTTGCAACATTAGTGCCAGCACTGCTTCCTAAATAAATTATTCCATCCTGAAAAATATTATCAACCATGCGAGATTACTCTCTATTGATAAGATTATACTGATATAAAAATTTTTTGTAGATAAAAAAAAATCAAATTCATTTTCATATTCATTTTATGTAAATTATTATTTACCTGAAGGACTTTATTTCTAATTGCATTAACTAATTTAAAATCACAGAGAGTTTTTAATAATAAAAATGTATTTCCGCCACCAATGAAAATACAATCGACATCATTAAGAGCGAGAATTGGATCTGTTTTTTCGTGTATTCCAATAACTTGATAATTTAAATTGAACTTTCGAAAAGCAGACCTAACTTTACTCGTGTAACCATCATAGTCTTTTTGAGCATAAGGTATAAATAATACTTTCTGTACTTTATATCTAAAATATTATTAAGTTAACGAACGAGGAATATAAAATTAAATAACGTAGTTGAATTGAATACTTACTTTTTAAAAAATTGATCTAATTCTGTCACGACGTATTCGAGAAAATCACTACCGTAAACGGTAGAACTCGAAAGTAATATCATTTTTCTGTTAGAATACATTGTTGAAATATCAACAACTTTTCAGATTAAAAAACTAAAAAACTAGTCCTAAAATTAATTAGAAAAGAAAGTGGAAAACGAATTCCTTGATATCGTCTATCGCTTAAAATTATAGATAACGAACGGTGCATATTTATTTTTATCTAACACGGGCTACATTACAGTTAACATATTTTCGTGTCAATAGAATTTTTAAAAAAAACGGAATTTCGAACAAGTGCAATTTTTTCAAAATGGTTCTACAAACTATAAGTAAAAGTTTTTACCGTAAAACACCAAATTTATTGCTCTTTAATTATTATAACTTACCCAAATTGGTAATTTTTGAGTTATAAGTTTTTTTTTTAATAAGTATGATTTTAAATTATAATTCATTATACTTTTTTCCATCATTATTAATTTTGTAATTAAGGGATTGATACTTAATCATCACATACTTGACAAAATTAAATCTTAGGGTTTTCTTTAAAATTAACAGTTGACAGAGATTTATGAGAGATTTGTTTTCAGATAGTCAGAAACTGCACCGTACGTAGAGCGTTATTTTATGTTCCCGGTAGCAATGAAAGAAAATTAAAAAAAGCAACAACTGAATTTAAAGTTGATTGCATAGTGATGGATTGTGAAGATGGGGTTGCAATGAATCAAAAGGTTTTATTTTAAATATTAAAATAAACGTCTGAATTAAATTTCAATGCTGAGACTTTTGAAACATTGTAAGTCATTTTATTTTTTCAAGGAAAATGCTAGGAATAATATTAAAAATTTTTTGGACAATGGTCCAGTGTCTAGAAGTCAACCTGAATGGAGTGTTAGAATAAATCCAGTTGTTGAAAAAGAATTGTGTGAAAAAGATATTGATGTTTTACTATCAGCCAAAAATTTGCCTATCAGCATATGTCTTCCTAAAGTTCATCATGTTGATCACCTACAATGGGTACAAAAATACATATATAAAAAATTTAATTAATTAAAAGAAACTAAATTTTACTGTTTCTCGACAATTAAATTTTTATAGTTTTCTGAAAAAGTTTGGACAGCTCTAGTGAAAAGACCAGAAAATGATAGGGGTCCATTGAAATTAATCATTTTCATCGAGTCTCCAACTGCTGTTATGAATTTACGAGAAATTTGTCAGAAGGCTCTTGATTTGTCTACAATGGTTCCATTAATACCTGTTGCCTTAGTTTTAGGAAGTGATGATCTTTTAGCTTCTTTAG